TTTACACTTGCTTATATTGAACTGCATTTACCAGCTACACATCTGGAAAGGTTAAAGGAAGCAATTTCCACTTTAAGATCGTCTATAAGTTTACAGATGGATTGATCTCCAAATCATTTCTTTCCTTAGGTATGATGAAACCAAATCTTCCATGGAAAGAGGCTATCCAAGGAAGATAGCAGCAGATTTCCCTGGAATTGGCCCTAAGGTGGACGCTGCCTTCCAGCATAACGGTAAGCAAAAGTGGTCTTCAGGGGCAGCAAACCAGCAAAGGATGGTTACTGTGTCATGAAAACAACCAGGTAGGTCAAGCATTAGTTTATATCCTGGCACATCATGAGCATCGGTAGGCAGAATCCCAGCAGCTGATGCCATGATCACAGAAAGCCATGCTGGAACCTAGGGAAACTTTGAAAATTTCACCAGGGACCTTGTTCATGGGAGTGGGCAAAACAAGATCTGAGAGGATGCTACCTATACAATCCTTGAGAATTGCATAGGATATTCAGTGCCTATAATGAAATGGCTGGTCCATTTTGTGTGCTATCCTGTGTGGCTGCCCATAACCCTTCAAACATCCCTATAGAGGGCAGCATTGCACCTCCCAAAGGTGCAGGCAACCAAGACATAGACCAACCAACCTCCATCTTCCACCCCTGCTTGAGAGGAGGAGCCGAGGCACCCCCAGGGTTCCTTGTATCCTGCAGGAACCTCGCTGCTCCCCGCCCTGACCCCTGGAGTTCCCCTGCACATGACTCACAAAGGATTGCAGCAACTAGGCAGGCAGAGGAGGTGCATTCCCCAGTGGGAGCCCGACCTCTGACCTGGAAAAGTATTTCTGAAGTCAGAGCTGCAACTCCAACCTATCCTGTGGTCATCTAAACAGTATCTAGTAGCCATGGGATCACACCCTTGTTTACCACAGTGCTCTCTGGTTGCCGGCTTTCAAAGTACTTGAGTTCCAAGTCGTAAGAAACATTTCAGTGATGATCGCAGAAAAGGAAAAAAATACAGAAATGTTACAATGCTGAGGAAGTTCTATAGTCTGTTTTACCTGAAAATCTTTACCCATCTTCTCCGTATCCCTTCAGGAAACTTCTATTTTTTTAATGGCCAGCAACAGTATGAGTTCGACATCACACGCAAAATGGTCACTAAGCGAATGAAGAGCAGCAGCTGGCTGGGCTGCTAATGATGCCAGAGGAGGAAAAGTCTCCAGGAAACAGAATTTCTGCCTCGCCATCCATTAAACTTTAGACATATTGTTGTCCTGTTGGCCATTTGGGTTTTGTGGCTGCAGTCACCAATATACTTTCATAAGAGACGCATTCAAGGCCAACATGCTCAGGCACACATGTACGCACAGCACCTTTTAATAGAATCCTTTCTCCAGCATTTATTAGAAGCGCATTATTTCTTTGCTTAGGACAGGCTGCTGCTCCCTCCTTTTGGAGCACTGGAAAACTGAAAGACATCCAAACACAGCAGTTTGTAACTTGAACATCACATTAAGCTCGGGGGAAATTGGCTGGACTTGATGCCTTCCATGCTAAGTGGAACGCCTCCCTTTTCACTTTTCTGGAGAATGAATCTGGTGTTATGCAGCCTTCGGCAGTGTTATGCAACTCTTTGCCTTTTATTGGCCTAGTTAACAATTGTGCCTTTCCAAACGTCATGGCTACTTTATGGCTGTCTAAGTATGATTAAATCGTTTGTAAATCATATCCAAGCTCCTGAATTCTGAGCCTTTTCTTTTTAACTGAGCCAGGCATGGATGCTGAAGAATCGGGCACAAGCTTCCCGGATGCAACTCCTTAATGTCCTACACCCTTTACCAGGATGGCACCTCAGTCCTACATCTGACATCTCAGCTGGTGCATCAAGCACCATCCCAGCTGTGGCTTTGAGTTCTCGGGAGCAATCCCAGAGATGGGCTTTTCTGGGTAGGGAGGTGTACAGCAAGCACCAGCAGCTTATGCAATATACTGGGGAAGCCCCAGCCTCCTTGCCCTGAGCTCCAAAGAAAAACCCGTGGACAGCTCCAGGCTGCCCATAATTCTCTGAGCCTGGGGGGTGCAGGCAGCCATGCGCAGGCCATTATGGGATTGTGCTGCCTGATGCAGCCACAGAGCATCTGCACAATAAGAGAATGCTGCCAAGCAGCAACTTTATTTATTTCATAGCCAAAGTGCTCTGGGACGTTTACAACAGTCACAACTAGAGCTGTGTGCAGAGGGCCTCCCAGGAATTCCTTGCCCAGTTTGTGGCCAGAGAAACTGCAGTGGGGACACCATTTCACCACATTTGTTCAAGGGGAGAGGAAATTCTCCAGCTCCAGTTTCTTGTAGGCGGGGATCGCCTTTTGCAGCATGAGTAGCGCAGCTTCCTTCTTTATTCTTTTTTTGGCTGCATCAGGGCTTTTTTGGAAGCGTGTGTGTGCTTGTTCGTGGGGGGGGGCAGTTGCATTGCGACTGGAAAAAGCCACTGTTCCGCATCTTCCACAATGCCCCCCCCCCCACAACTTGCATTGTTCAGTGGTGATTTGGGAGAAGGAGAGACAAGTCAGTTGCCATTAAAATGGTAGAAGAACTTTGGAAGAAAACCTCTTGTTCTTCCTGAAGGGTGGGGAAAGGTAAGGAAAGAAGAATGTCAGAGCTATTTTAAGAGAACTGTCTTCAGAGAGGTCATTGCATACTTATTTGGAGTGTCCTTGGAGATGCTTTAGAGCTAGCCAAATCATGATGAGGTGGTTAACGGAGCCGCCTGTGCTTCCAGAGCCAAAAAAATCCCTTTGACCTCACAGTATCTCCCCTGGGCTTCAAATGGGAAAGCAAAGAAGCTCATGTGTCTGTGCAATGAAAGAGAGGACACCCCCTCACGCTCCTTGGCACCGCATAGGTAAGGTAAGTCTAAGAAGCCAAGCCCAGCCCATAAGAATTCCTCCAAAATTCTCTTCTCCTTTGGCTTCCTTTTCAAAAGCAATGCCTCTTCAGTCAAATTGAATAAGATCGGTAAAAAGAGGGTGCGGTAAAATTTTGGCACAGTGCTAATGAAAACTATAAAATAACAAACAAGTTCAAATCTACAGTGCAAAAAATTAACCAAACAGAAGCTAGCAGCAATGCAGAGATTTAAAATATGATACCAGATTTAAAAAACAAAACAAATCTGAAAAGCTCAAGCCTGATCTCAACAGCCCAAGGGTGCTATTGACTTTATTAAAGCTCCTTTTCATTAAACCCTTCAGCCACATTCCTTTGATTTGGTTGGTACCCAAAACATACTTGATGTGTACCTGGGTGTGTAAATTACTTTTGGTCTGATTGCTTTGCCAAGAGCCTACCTCATGATCTTTACTATTAAACATATAAAGGCTTGCACAACAAGAGACGCATTAAAGATTAACATATTTGTAATGGCAAACCTTGCCATGGGCCAGAGAGCACATCATTCTCCTGCCGAGACAGCGGTAATTCCAACACTCCAAGCACATGTAAAGGGCACCTTTGTCAATAAGCCACAGAAGTGGAGAATTGCAGGACAGGCTTTAAGCCTAGCCTCCCGCTCAGTGCTGGAAATCCAGAGCTAAAGCACCGCTCACAGGTGGCTGCCCTCCCTTGGTCCTAACTGCTGGCTGGTCTCACAGCTTGTCTCAAATCATCATTGCTCTGGCATACCCTCCACTCAGTCTGGCCATCTTGGGGACACCTGGATCATTCACCCCCCCCCCTGCAATTAGAATTCAGCCTGAGCTCCCCGTCCCAGAAAGAACATCATAGCTCTAGCAAGCATTTGGAAAAGAATACTGAAAATAATCAAAGGGTGGAATGTTGAGTTAATCAAGCTTTTTGATTAGTGGTGGGGTGAGAAAGTACTGTATGGGAATGAGATGTAGGTTTATGAAACTCTAAGCAGAAATGAGAAAAGGAAGTTTCTTCCCCAGTCTCATAAAATTAGAACTCCCCAATGGAATTATTGGTAGTCAGGTAGGAACCACTAAAAAATGCAACATGTATTTGACTGACAGGGTTCACTGCCACAGGATCCAGTGGAAGCTACTGCCTTAGATGCTTTTTCATGGGGATTACAGGCAAATTTCTAGGAGAAAAGGTCTATTGCAGGTGATTAGTTATGATAGATAAATGGAACATCTACAGATGGAACCACTGTTCCAAACAGAATGTCGGACCACGGGGAGCACACCGGGCAAGTCTTTGGTCCATGTAGCAAATTCATAGAGTGATACTTGGAGCACAGATTAAGAATTCACTGGCCTAGGGTGCCTGCTGAAGGTCAGACACTTTGGCCACCTAATGAGAAGGAGGGACTCATTGGAAAAGACCCTGATGCTGAAGGCAAAAGGAGAAGGGGACAGCAGAGGTTGAGGTGGCTGGATGGAGTCGCTGGAGAAATGGGTATGGGGTTGGGGATACTCTAGGAGATGGTGGAGGACTAGAGAGCCTGGAGGAACGTTGTCCATGGGGTTGCAAAGAGTTGGGCATGACTTTGTGACTGAACAACAACAACAAGGTTGCCCACTATGGCAATTAAGAGAATGTGACTTTCAGCCAAGGAAGGCTTTTTCTCTTTTCTTCTGTAGGATGCAGTGAGTTTATGCATGCATACAAGAAATAAACAAAGAACATCTTATACGGAAAGTTTATGTATTTATTTATTTTGTGATAGTTTTGATACTGCCCATCATGTGCAAAATATCCATGTGGGTTTATTCTCATAAAATTAAAATGTAAATATAAATAAGATAATATTACTTAACAATTACACATGAATACACAGTCAGATGCAATAATTTATATTAAATACATATTGAAATTTGAATTTCCCTCTTTCTGAAAAAGATCAATGCTAGCAGCTATTATGTGCTCAGAAACACAGAACGGACTGAGGAATGCCAGGGGTTAGCACAAATGTTGGTGCCTGATGCACAGGGAAGCAGGGATTGTGTCCTTCTTGGCTACTTTACTCTTCTTGGTCTTGTGTCACTGGCAGCCTAACCAGCTGTTGCTCTTCTTTACCCCCAAAAATCTTCTGGTTCGGCTGTCAAACTCATACTGATCTGAGCCGCTGAACAGATACAAGCGCCCTAAAAGGAAAACAAGGGTAAAGCTTGTGAATCTAATGTATACAGGCAACTCTCAGACCCTGGAATTTCTCTCTTGTTTGCAGTGTAATCTTGTCTTTATCACCAGGATGCATTTAAACAGGAAATGTATACAATATTTGCTGCTAGTCATATCCAACCCATTGCAACCCCATGGACAACATTCCTCCATGAACTGACTATTCTTCTCAGCTGATACAACTACTGCAAAACCAGTAGCGAAACCAGTGAAAACTGTGAATGAATGGAACTGACGCCAGTACAATAGTGTGAGTAAAGCAGGCATGGAGGTCTCTTAAGAGGAGCCATGATAATTTGGTGATCTGTTGTTCCTCAGCAAACCTCCGGTTCAGCAAAGGCACCGACTATTTTGGGGGGCATGAGACACAGGACCAAATGCACATCACACCCTCATCCTTTTCTTGGGAGTGCATTGGTGGTATTTTAAGCAATGCATTGATCACAGATGGGCCACATACTGGTGCACACTTTCCACTGTGTTGAAAATGTGGCCTTATGTCACACTCAGATGCAATGGCAGGAGCAGGAGGAGGAGGTTGAGAGATGAGACAGACAGGGATTTTTGAAACTATTAACTATGAGTGAATGGAAAGGCATAAAAGAGTGGAGACTTAAATGAGAAGGCAATTCCTTCTGTTCACTCCCAAAAATATCATTCTGCAACCACTCCTCTCCCCTGCCCCTGAGCAGTGCAACAAATTTAGCATACAATGAAATGCAATCCACACCAAAAACACAGCATGCAATAAAGTCTGGATATAACTGGTTTAAATAACCTGCGATATAATTGCATTATGTGCGTTTACAGCATGATTCTGCCCTTTTTCCTCTTGCAAGGAGCCCAAAAGTGGCTTATGCCAACCTCCTCCACTGCTTCATTTTATCCTCACAACAACCCTATGAGGTGGGTTAGGAGGTCAGCGACTAGCACAAGGTCACCAAGTGAGTTTCATGGCCAACACGGTTCCATGAACACCACAGTGGCAGAAATAGTGAAAAGAGGGTGGATTGGAGCAAGCATTATGTGACATACCAGGGAGCTGGAGTTACACTACCTGTAAAAATATCAAATTTAGATTCTTCCCAGGTTAAAAGGCCACATACGTAACATTCAGAAATACTTTGAAATACTTCATCTACCTAAACTTATACCCATAGAGTCCTATAGATGAAATACAGATGCCACTAATACTGAGAAATTCTTACCATAATCTAGAAAGGCAGCATCCACGTTGGGGCCAATTTCAGGGAAATCCACTGTTATCTTCCTTGGATAGCCTTTCTCCATGGAATGCTTGGCTTCATCATACCTGAAGAAATTCATGAGTTGAAAATGCATGCAGCTTCAAGACATGGAAACCATCTGGAAAAAGCTGCATCATATCCTCTTACTTGTGAAACATGTGACAGGAGGTAATGCATTTAAAATCATGGCATTTGGCATGTACTAGTGATTCCAAGTCAGTTCAGTTGCATTTACAGGTAGCACTTGGTATATATTTATTATATTTATATACAGCCTTTCTTCCTTGAAAGTGGCTTACATAATCCTCCTCCTCTGTACTCTATTTTCACAACAATCCTGTGGGGTAGGTTAGGCTGCGAATCAGTGATTGGCCTCAAGTCACCCTGTTAGTTTTGTGGCCTGCCAGGGACTAGAACCTGGACCTCCTGAATCCCAGTCCAACACTCTATGACCTGTTCCATACTGGCTATCATTACTAGAGACTATAAAAAGCCATTCACTTCAAGTGGGAGAAGCACAGCTTTCTGGAGAGGGAACCAGATGTGATCGACCCCCAAATCCATAGTTGATTCAGGGGTGCACAGTAAATCAGCAAGAGGAATGGGGTGCATTCTTTGTATAGAAGTTGCAAGGGATTAAAAGCATGCAGTGGCTTGCTTTTGGGCCTTTTCAGCATGGGTTGGAAAATTTCCCCCTTACCTCCAATAGCTGTTGCCTGAAAAGAAGTATGTTTTCTTTGAGTATATGTCATGAGCAGCTGCATCAATTTTCTTAACTGTTCTGGGGAAGCCCAAGTGGTGGATGTTCTTTGGGAATCCAGGCTGAATGATGCTTCCCTTGGCAGCCCAATACTTCTTTCCTATGGAAGGAAAGATAGAAAAGACTTCATGAAGATGAAATGAATGCTAATTAGATATACGGAGCTCTCCAGTGGAAACATGGAGAACATAACAAGTTGCACATGAAGCACCAGGTGGATCTACATCTGGTCCTTGCCTATTTGAGAACTATGTACAAAACTGAATTCCATGGTGCAAAAATATAATAACTAAGATCCAATGTCTTTGATCCCAACCAGTTCTCACCTGTGACACATTTTGAACTCAGCAGCAACTGATGGTCTAGCAAGAGCAATTCGCTTTTGCACCAGGAAAGCTCTTTAATTCTTTTCCTAGCCTCACACTTGCCAATGCGAATTTCTACTGAAATGCACTGCAGCCACTTCTTTCTGCACTTCTGTTTCTTGGCTGACACATGGTTCATCATGTCATTGCCTGTTTTAAATACTGAAGGGCAGAAATGCATAGTCATTGCTTGCCATGTGCATAACAGAGGGGGTTGGGCTTCAGGTTATGGCGGAGTTCAGAAGAAAAGCCCCAACTATGATATTGATTGATGGCAAAGAAATTAGTCCAGTTCTCATCAAATGTTAACATACATATTATGCAAATTGAAATTGAATTTTAAATATACATTTTTTCTGAATTTTGAGTTATGGTTTTCCAATTATTAAAATGCAGAAAATATGCATATTGGGGGAAATGGCATCCAAGAACACAACCCTGAAAATAACACCCAAAACTACATTATATGAAGGTTAGTTCCTTGGAAAATGCATGCCTCAAGCAGAAATATGTTCAGAAAGGCATATATAGAAGAAATGCGCACCCAATTATGTACATTCCATTTCTGAAACTGATTTATTAAAAAGTATATATGGAAGCCATTAAAAGGAGTATAAAAATTTGTTCCCGTAAAGTAGTGTAATGTGATAAAGTTGGCAGGCCAGGCTTCACTGAATAGTATATTATTATTATTATTATTATTATTATTATTATTATTATTTCAATTTCTATCCCACCCATAACTGAAGCTCTCTGGGCAGTTTACATTCCCAGAACTCCTGCCAATAGCCCATACCATTCAATAATAAGACAGTATCCTCTCCTTTCATCTCATTCCCATTAAATAGAAATGTAAAAGACTCAGAATATTTACCTTTGAAAAGAAACACTGTGTCATCATCTTCATTTTCATAGGCAGCATCTACACCACTGCTCAACACTGGCCAGAAAGCAGAAATGGGAGTTTTTTCTATTTCTCGTTTCTGGGGAAACTTTCGCCAGAAGAAGCTGGAGGAAGGAGAGGAGAAGAGAGAAAAATATTTACTAAGGAAAGGCTGCTGTTTATTGTAGTGCCCATGTATGCATAGAGAAGATCCCAGGTTCCAGTGCAGGGAGGAGGATTACAAAAACTGGACAGGTTCAGGGGTTTGGCCTAATTTACCTGTCTTTAAAGAACACAGTTTCCCTTCGGAGAGTAGTGACTGCATCAAACGTTAGGTGAGGGTCACACATGTCTGTTGATGGTGCTTCTGTTGGAATGTTTGTTGGTATCGCGTTATTTTCTGATGAACCTTCACTATCTTCAGGGGATCCTTGAAAAATTAATAAGGAGAAAAATGCAGGTGAGAGACATCACAAGAGGTTTTTATTCTAAGATGATGGAATGCGATACAGCAACAAACCCACTGCACTTCTCAACAAAATGTTTTGGTCTTTAAATCTCATACAGTTGATGAAGATTTGGCCTGGGAGGATCCAGAATTCATGTTAGCAAGGGGCAGAAAACCCCTGGCCCAAACCCATGACTGCCTGCTTTACGTCACTACCATTCCTTGAGCTCAATACGGTGCGGTCCCCAGTGAGTTTGAATGGGATGTGGAATATCCTGATGAAGAAGGCAAAAGACAAGGCTGCTTTTGCTTTTCCAAATGTACATCCCATGGTGTGCATCCCTCTGGTCAAACATTACATTTATTGGGTTCCTCCACAAAAGTTCAAATAACTTGACCTCGGGTCAACAAGTAGACAAACTTCTAGGACTGGCAGCCTCTGCTTGCATATTCTCTTTTCTTCAGCAATGAATTCATCTTACTACACAGAGGATAGGGGACACTGCTCAGAGCCAGTGTGGGATTTAGTGTGTTGGCCTGGCACTCTGGAGACCCTGTGGCTCTTCCCCACTTGCTGGGTGTCTTTGGGCCAGTCACTGACTCTTAGCCTATCCTACCTCACTGGGTTGTTGTGAGGATAAAATGGTGAGGAGGAGGAAGATTATGCAAGCTGCCTTGGAATCTTTGCAGGAAGGAACGCAGGACAAAGATATTAGAAATAAATAAAATGTGGTAGGCTGTGTCATGGGGAGACCGGGGGAACCCTGAACATCAGGCTGAGACACCTTCTGGTATTGGATTGTGGTGGTGGAGAGGATTGCCATGAGGGAGGTTGAGTGGGGAGCTCTGTTTCCACCAGTCCAGTTCCTAATGCTTGCCCATGGAACTGATCTGCACATTCAGTTCAGTATCTGCACTTACCATAAAGGTACTGGATGCCTACAATGTCATCTGTGTGAAGGCTGAAGGATCTGGGGTCCCAAGGTTGGTAATGGGGGTACATCAGGGACCCCTGAACATTGGAATGCTGAAGACCCAGGGAGTGGCCAAACTCATGGGCAGCAACAAGAAAGAGGTTAGTTCCTGCAGAAAACAGAGCGGGCATGAGTATTTATGGCATTGTTATTATTTTGTAATATGTAGAGAAAGTACATATTTCAGGTGGAACATGTGAAGAATGTGATCTTTATGAATTCCAGTGCGAACTGACTTGATGCACACTAATGTGCAGAAGGAGCCCTTCGTCACTGGCCACTCTTATCTAAAGCAATCTGTTTTTCCCAGTCATTCCAGCTGTCTGGTAGCATCTGCCCCACCACAATGAGCTGTTCCTGGATAAGAGGGTGAATTACATTCAGTAAGGCAGGTTAGAAGTTGTCCAACTAGGCACCCATCATCAATATTTTATTGACACACTAACTGAGGACTGTGTGCTGGAGTTATACTACAATATACAAACAGAACAGAACCAGGAAATCAATTGGATTTCTGGCTAGAGATCAGGAAAATTGTCCTAACTGGTAGAACCAATGACTGAAGGAGGTTGTGGGTTCTCCCACACTGGAGGCATTCAAGATGCAACTAGACAGCCATCTGAGAGGGATGGTTAACTTGGAGTTCTGCACTGAGCAGAAGGTTGGATCTGGTGGCCCTCTGGCCCCTTCCACCTCTACCACTGTATGATTCTACAATTTTATTAATTTCGGGTTGCTTATGTTCAAGTCCAAAAAGTCATTTCCGTAAGACTTGAATGGTTCTTCTGTCTCTATTGCAGCAAATGTAGTTCAGTAGCACTTCGCAGCCATAAGAAGAACATGCACAGATGAATGTAATAAGGAAGAAATACCTTTCAAATCCTCTGACCAAAATTCTGCTTCATCAAAATGGGCATCTCCACCATACTCAGGAGAAAAGGCATGAGCCAGTTGTCCACCAGGGCCATAAAAGGGAAAACCATCGCCATGATCTTAAAAAGTGAAAGAACACAGATCTCAATCTCTGGGCCAAGACCCTGGGGGAAACTACCTATGCTTGATTGTTATGGGGTATACCTACTTCCTTCAACAAAAGAAATATCTATATCTGCAGGGATGTTATAGACTTGTGTGAAGGTCAAGGGAGTCACATCACTCCATATTTTCCAAGCTCTCTCAATTGCTTCATTCACTGCAGCAGGATGCATATCTGGTGTGTAGTTCAGGATGCTGTGGAAAATACAATAGAAAATGAAATTTACTAAAGGAGCTGGCAGAACTCTCAGATCCACTATCTATTCTCTTTAAGAAATCATGGAGGAGAGATGAAGTGCTGGATGACTGGAGAAGGACTAATGTTGTCCCCATGTTCAAGAAAGGAGAAAGAAGAATCTGGCAACTGCCAATAATTCACTCTGACATGCATCCCCGGGAAAATTCTGGATCAAAGTATAAAACAGTCAGTCTGTGTACCCATTGAAAACAATGCAGTGATCGCTAGAAGCCAGCATGGATTTGAAAGCTTGCCACAAAGAGGAAGATCAAGATCTCTTCTCAATCATCTCAGAGTACATGACTCAGCATAACACCAAGAAATGCCACATTATTCAACTTCCAGCTGCTACTCTCCTGTTACTCAGTGAGGTCTACAGACCCTGTATTCATGTTTTGGCTCAGAAAGTTACATTGTGTACTGCATCCCCACCTTCCCATAATGCATGAACAAGACCTCAGAAGTTAAAACCCATGTTTCTTAACACTTCTTCTAGCATCTAACTATGAAATGAAAAAAGAAAGAGGGTTGCTTGACTTTGCATCCATTCTCTGGATATCCCACAGTGAGATTCACCTGTGCTTGCCTCTTCCCTCCATCAATTCTTTCTCTTTGGGGGATGCTTTTGGCATCTTCAATCTTGTGCCTTACAGATGTTTTGCACTACTGCGTTCATCAGCACCAGGCAACATGCCAATAGTTAGAAATGCTGAGAATTGTTTTCCAATATCTGGAGACAGCTATTGGTTTAGGGTACATCAGCTTAATGTCCTGCTCTTGCTAGAAGTTTGGGGGGTTGCCATAATAAGCTGTATCTTAAATTCAAGAAAATGTGCTGAAATCTTACCGATACGTTAGGTGTTTCTTTCCCCATGTAGGAGAACGGGGAAAGATGCTGAATTCTCCGATGTCAGGAACTCCGCACCTGGGTTTGCTTATTATTTTCAAAGTGCTTGGATCAAGTTTGCCTGTCACTTTCAGCCCAAGGAATTTCTGCATTTGTTTTATTTTATATGTTGGGATGCTATTTATGCTTCTGCTTCTGACAACAGGTATCGGGCTTGAATCAGGATAATAATTTTCCATGTATTTCTGATGAGAAGAACAGACACTTTCAATTAGAATTAATTTCAGATGCAGACATCACATCTCAAAATAACTATTTGAAATAGTTCTACCTTACCTTTTGGTCTTCAAGGTACATTATGTTTTGCTTAATATATATATATATATATATATATATATATATATATATATATATATGGTAGAAATATACTACTATAGTACTATATACTAGTTTTTTATACTACTATAAAAACCCACACTAGGCAATCATCAATGCATTGCTTTCAGAAGTGATAGTCATCAATTCCAGAATGAAATTCTACTGACCCAGGAACTGAAGCCAAGAGACATCAATTCATCCTAGGCCAGATGGCCCCACCTGGTGCAACTCCCATCATGCCACTGTTGGGTGGGATGATAGGAGTTGTAGTCCAACACCTCTGGAGGGCACTGGCTTGGGGGAACCTGTCCTAAGAAAATCTGTAACTCTCTGGCAGTTCTGAGTGAGGATTTTGTTCAGTTTCCTTCTTTTTTGCAAGGACACGACACAATTAACACATAAACGGAATAGAAAGAAATAACCGAGATTCTACAAAAGTGAAATTGACAATACCTGGATTCCCTAGCTGTCAATTTCCCCAAAGTGTTGAGCTATTGGCTATGGAGTGGAATCTGCTCACGGCATTCTATTATACGCCTGTGCTGTCTTTAGCCATTACCTTAGCAAGCTCCATGTCCTTTTCTTCAATGTTCTGGGCTTCTTGAACAACAGGCCAAGTGCCGCAGAGAGCTCCGCAGAGAGCTACCGTCAGTAGGAAGCTCTTCATTTTAGTCTTTTCCTCTGTGTCTCAGCGGTGGAGTCTCAGAACTCGTTCCACTCTGCCACTGGATCTGTCCTTATGCCTCAGGGTCTCCCTCTTTATATGCTTCTTGTTCTGTAGCACCAAGAAAGACATGACTCAACACCTAACCACTTTCCAATCACATTTCCTGTGAAGTCCCCATTTAGCAGGAAGAACACAGAAAGACGCCTTGTATGGAATCAGAGCACTGGCCCACTGAGCTCATGGTCGTCTCAGTGGGTGCAGCCCCACACCGTGCTGAACCGCCCTGGCAACAAGCCAAGGTGCGCTGGTTGCTGGTGAACAACCCAGGATGAGCCCCAGTGGTGGGTCAGGCTGGCTACCCGTGGGCTGTTGTTTCATTCCTCCTCCCTCTGACCTCCTGCAGAGATCCCCCGAGACATCTCAGGATGAAAGACCCGTCTCCTCTTTTCCATTGCTGCTGTGGGCTGTTTCTGTTGGCTTTTGTTTTTTGTTTCTTTTTGTTTTGCCTGGGGATCATAGCAAATCCTCCTTTTGACAGCTCTGAATAACCACTTCAGAATTCCCCAATAGACCTTAGAGGGGCTGCCCAGGACTGTCCAACTTTTATTTTCTTTTATATTTCTGCACATTTTAATCACTGTTATTATCCTTTTTAGTGAAGTTCAGTTGCACAACTGATCTTTCACAGTAGCACAACTGCAGAGACTTGGTGTTCGGATGATGCAATTTTCTGGTGGGGGTGGGGGCCTCATCTCAAAGGACAGCAGGTGCCCCGCCTGGACTGAGCGGAGGCTTCAAATCCATGTGGCCCATTTGGATTTCTCTAACAGAAGGCGAGTTGTCAAGAGAAGCCAAAGCCACGTGCAATTTTGCTGAGAAGGAGATTCCAATCTAGTTAGTGATGAAAAGGAACTTTCAGGCATGAATCTATTCCCACTTTTCCAAGAGACACCCTGAAATAAACCTGGGATTTTTGGCACGCTACACTTCTGCACTGTGGCCCTTCCCTGACTCGGCATGGCTTGAATTAACTCGATGAAATAGTTTCACAAAGGAACTCAACTTATTACCTGACTAAAAGCATGAATCTTTCAATCAAACAGTGTGAGTGAACCCCTAGATACCATTTTGGCCTCTAACTGACACTTATTCGTTATATTTTGTGGGGAAATTTAACTGGCTTATGCAAACTGATAATTTAAATGTTTAAAATGGACAGATTGTGGGTTTGATCCATAGTTAGTCATACCAAAAATAGGCACATTGAAATTAATGGAATCTATGAAATTCTTGGCCATTCTGTCCCATTGATTTCAAGGGGTCTAAGCGTGACCAAATCTGGCACCAATCCTGTATGAATTGTGAATCAGGAACCATTTCTAGCAATCTCTGATCAATAAATTGATAGGAAAAATTAAAATATTTTTGAAGAAACACCATTCTTGGTTAAAACTGGGCAAATTTTGAAGCTATGTTTTTAATAGTAAATTTTGGATTCATTGGCTGTGCTATCTCATTCAATTCTGGCCTGCCTAGGGCCACTCCTGAGGCAAATTTAAGGCAGAAAGCTTAGGGATGCCATTTTCCAGCCCCCAAATCTGGATGACCTAATTTACATATTAGACAAACCATGTAGTACACAGGCACCCCCTCCCCCAATGATTTCCCATTCTGAAGTAACCTGTCACTAGATGGTCCACTAGGATTGTGCAGTTTGCGATTCAATCTTGTGTGAACTTTCACCAGCCCTTTCAGAACACAAGCTGATATTCGTACTCGCGCTTCACAGCTGGGTGTTAAGAGTTGCAAGGCAGGATCCGTTCAGATATGGGATCAGGATTGACTCATTAGAGAATATGAAGCTGATTTTAAATGCCATGAAAATGCAGTAATTTATTAACTACTTAATGTAATTCTCCATTTCAAATGGTTTGTGGCTGCCTTCTCTGGGATTTGGAGGGAAAGAGGAGGGCAAGACACAAGCTTTTGGGGTAGGATGGGATTTGAGGGAGGAGAAATGTGTGGGGCTGGCGTCCCTGGACCTCAGGCATCTGAAAGAAGAATCAGGCAGGACTGAAGACTTCCAGGGGGAGGTGAGTCCCTTCTGTCCATGCAGAAAATGCCACATGAGGTCCAACGAGCGAGCCTCGCTTCATCTGACTCTGACAAAGTCTCCCATGGAAAGATGAGCATGGTAGACCTTGGATCATTCTTCTTATATTGATATTGTGGTGTGAGATCTGCTTCAGATTTTGATGGTGCGGAATAAGCAAAGATGATTTAATTTTCAGAAATCTCATACAATTTTGCATCCAGAAAGGAAGAAAATGTTGTGTGTGTAACAAAGAACATTAAGGCTATATGTAATTTTTGCAACACAGCCTGTTATAAGCCTAAGGCAGTTATTGTGCGCTTGCGATCCCTCACTCATGGAAGTTTGTGGGGCCTTTTAGTCACACCATTATTCTTCAGGGTCTCTCTCCTGCTTTCAAGCCACTTTTGAGGCCCTTTTGAAAATGAAAAAAGCTAGCCAGGGCTTTTCTGCGTGTGGAACTCGACTTGCCGCTTTACTGGGCTTCTTGCATTTTCATTGCAGAAGGAAAAATGCATCCTTTGCACTTTCTTTCCCCAGAGGCTGGCATTTCTCTGCTTTTCTATACATTCTATTAACCAAGCACAAGGTGGGGCTCTTGAATAGGTGCGCTATAGTTGAATTAGGATTCCACACAAAGATTTTGTACTGGGTTGAATTTTAATAGCTGAAGTTTGGCTATTCAGCAGCTACATCACAGCGCCATCTTGCTGTTGGATAGCAGAATATACAGAAAGGCAAATGAGGTTGAAAAGGACCTTTCTTCCTGCCAGCGATGAAAACAGAACAAGAAACCCCAGTACAGCAGCAGGGTTCACATCATTATGTAGAGAAGCCCTGTGACAAAAGTAGCATCTTTTTCAGCATTTCAAGGAGCCACAAGGATCTGGCTAATTCAAACTGCACAAGGTTGTTTTGGGCTTGTGGGATGCTTTGTTTTAGCAACATTCTGCTTGCTGGGTTTCTAATCTCCACACCCAGCTCCTGTTGACTTCACATAGCCACTCAGCTGAGCCCTCTTCCCACCAAGCAACAACAAAAAACAAGCTATAAAATACTGAGGTGGGGGCAATCCACACATTTTCAGCCCCGGTTGACCTCCCCTATCCCTCTTCTGCAACCTGGTGCCCACCAGGTGCATCCCTCGTTAACATGGCCATGGGAGTTTCAGTCTCACACTCTGGGGGAGACCAGGTTGGGGAAGGTTGTAGTGCAGCTTGAGTGGCCTTATCAGTGGGATAGTCTGTAAAAATAAAGAAGGAAAAAGGAAAGCTGACAAATTCAAGGTAAAGTAATATTGTTGGTGTGGAATTGGAACTGGACTCGGTTTTCCTAGCATGAATGCCTTTTTTTGCAAGTACCCATTGTTTTGGGGAAAAATAGCTACTACCCAATCACATCCACACTGTCATTGCATAGCCAACTCGTAAAGGGATGTCTCTAGGAACCGGATTCGCCTTACAGATGCTCCCTTGATAGATTTTAGGATGCACAAGACCAAGCGACATGCTCAGCAAGAGGTTTTGCACGAGTTACATTTTCGTTCAAAGAGGAAGTTCATTTTTACAACAGACATACAGACACTTGCAATGCATTATTTTTAGTATTCTCCCAGCTTTTCAGTTCCTTTCACACACAAATTTGGTGGGCTGGAATCACATACTTCTTAATATAGAAGTAACAATCCTATGTAGTTTCATCATTGCATGGTATATTCCGTCACCCACATGCCTACATTCTTCCTCTTTGTTTTGCTTTGAAACTTTTCTACATGAGGCAGCATTCCTTACTCATAACTGATTATCAGTTCTTTAGAAAAAAATGTTTTACTTCTGTTTTTTAAGAACACTTTCCTGGTTTGTGCAAGAGTGGGAAAAATGGAGTTATTATTAGTTATTATTAATGGAGTTATAAGTAAAAGAAAACAGGTTTTCCTAATTATCTAGTTGTACAGTTCTGTTATAGCACGAGACCATCTAGAACATATGCACGAAAGAAAAACTCTTTCTATAGAGCTTGGTTTTTGAATCTGTGAAAGTAGATAAAATGGATTAGTGGCCTCTTATATAAAAGGGTGAGTATGACCGGAAATGGAACTTGAGAGAGATCACTTCTCAAAGGGCCCTTGTACTTCCATAAGACAACCCAAATGGGTTAAAATTGGCAAACTTGTTAGAAGGATGGCTTCTGCAAAAAAACTGGGATCAGCAGGGCTATGGATGTTTGTTTAGCTGAGCTCATCTTATCATTAGGCAAAGTGAAGTAGAGAATTGGAAACAGCTGCAAAGCTTTGGAGGTGAGCAGTCTGCCTCTTCAGGTGCAGCATCCTAGAATCACAGAACGGTAGAATCAGAAGGAACCAAAACCCCCTGCTCACTGAAGGACTCCAAGCTCAAGCATCCCTAACCAAGGGCTATCCAGCCGCCTCCTGAATGTCTCCTGCTTGGGAGAGCCCTAGGTCACTGGTTCCATTGGTGTATTGCTTCAACCGTCAGGAAGTTTTTCCTGACATTCAGCCAGAATCTGGCTTCCAGTAACTCAAGCCAATTTTTCTGTGTCCTGCACTCTGCCATGATCAAGAAGAGATCCTGGTCCTCTTTGTGTGACAACTTGAATCATGTTATCATATCTCCCCTCAGTCTTCTAATCCCAAGGCTAAACCTGCCCAATTCTTCTAGTCTTCCTCTCAGGGCATTGTTTCTAGTCCTCTGATCATCAACTCCACTGACCTTTTCCAGCTTGTCTCCATCTTTCTTGAATTGTGGTGCCCAGAACTGGACACAGTACTCAAGAGGAGGCCGAGCCAGTGCTGAGTAGAAGGGAACTCATACTTCGCATGCTTTGGAAGTGACATGTCTATGAATGCAGCCCATAATAGCATTTGCCTTTTTTTACAGCCACATCACAGTCTTGGCACATTCACCTTGGGAATGACAACTATTCCAAGTTGCTTTAAGTATTGTTGAATCAGGTATACCCCTCTTGTAACTATGCATTTGGTTTCTTTTTCCTAGGAGTGGAAATTGGCATTTGTCCCTATTAAATTTGATTCTGTTGCTTTCAGCCCAACCTATTAAGATCAGTTTGAATTTTGTTTCTGACTCCCTGGTTATTAGCATTTCCACTCAATTTTACATCATCTGCACATCCAATAAGCATTCTCTGTACTCCTTCAACTAAATCATTAATGAAATGGTTGAATCATAGATCAGCAGAGTCAGAAGGGGCTTATAAGGTTGCCAAGTCCAATCACCTGCTCAGTGTGGGACTCCAGGAGAAAGTATCCCTGGCAGATGTTTGTCCAGTTGCCTCCTGAATGCCTCCAGTGAGGGGGAGACCAGGGTCTCCATTACTGCACTGTTCTAACAGTCAGGAAGTTTTTTCCTGATATCCAGCTGGATTCTGGCTTCCTGTAAGTTGAGCACATTATTCAGTGCCCTATATCACTTTGTGCAAGTCATTAATGAGTGCTGCACTCAGGACTGAACACTGCCAAGCTCCTGATTACCCACAGCTGGGCTGGACAGTACTAGCTCAGGTTGTGGGTGCGATTGCCACTTTCCTGCTCAATTTTTTCTTGTCCTTCTGCAACAGAATAAGCCTGTAGGCAACACTTAATCCACCATTTTTTATTTTTGCAAGTTTTTCCATTTCCCCCCAGAACTCAGGAATCTTCCCTCCCTCCCTCCCATAGGGGAACAGCCCAAGATAAGGCGGTACATGCAGATATCCATTAATTATTTTCAAATACTTTATAGCTTGCTCTTGCCATTTCCTTCCCTATGGTCTGCCACCTCAGTTGTCTTACACAGTCTGAGTTGTCACATCTTGGTGCAATCGGTGCTTCCTGTTATGAAGCTTCATTTCCAAAACTTCAAAGAAGGAACTGGGGGGGGGGGGCATGATTGTCTATGTGGCATCATTTGGCAGGGAGAAACCATAGCAAGTTTCAGATCATTTGCTGCTACCTAGAATGGGCAGCAAACTCATTCTAACCAAATATATCCTTCTATCTATGACTGAGCTCATGCAGGCATTTTCAGCTTCAATTTGTGCACGTAAACAAGCTCTATGGGCTGCAACCCAGAGCAGCTGATAGCTAGGTAGACTCTGCTCAAAGCAATGTGAATCAATGGATTTGAAATCAGGATATTTCTGCATTTTCATGTGTCTAATTCAAACAAATAGCTGCATACACTGTGTTCGAACTGGTCACTGACTGTTAATTGCTTTTGAACAAAATAATAACACATGGTGGAATATGTTTGGGAAATAACATATTTCTTTTTTCTGGATATTTCCCAAAGTATTCTGGTCAATGTTGACATTGACCAGTAAATAATGCACATGAAGGGGAAATTGGGCTACTTCCTACAGGTATCTGATTCCACTGAACATCAGAGATTTTTCTGGGACGGTTGCAGGTGAGTTCCTTAGAGGATGTCCCTTGTCGGCAAGTGACCAGTGACAATGATATACACTCATTTAATTACACTCATGCTTTAATTATACTTGCAAGCTACCTTGAGAAAGTTTTTGCCCTGGGAGGCATCATTAATCATAATTTATATAATTTGCATTCCTTTTAATTAGTTTTTTCTTCATTTCTTTTTTTTTAGTGAATTGGCCAAATGCCTGTTAAAAGGCCAAATATTAGAGATTTGCTAATATATGCATCACATTATTTTGATATGAATCCTTTCTAGGGATTGTTTTGACTCTACCAAGTGACAGTCAATCAAGGGATAAATATAAATACAAGGGAAATAAATATAAGTGATATAAACATAAATGCGCGTGTGCACACACACAAAGCAATGGAATATAAATATAAATAAAAGTTGCATTTGTCAACCAAAGAATAAATACAGGCATAAATATGAAGACTTACTGAAAGCCAGGTCAGAATTCAAGAATTTTAAAGGTGCACAAACCTGACTTTTTAAATCATTTATCTATTCAGATACTTTACTTTCTAACTATTGAAACTGGGATCCAAAGAGGGTGCAATTAATTCTGCATATGACAGACTTCTATTTCTTAGAGAACAACTATGTACAACTGAATTTCAGAAATGTTTCTCTGTCTGGCATGTCATAAGTGCCAATGCCATTCCTGATAGTGAGCCACTTTTGTTTCCAAGGAAAATTTAAATTGTATATGTGATGGCATTGCGTGTGTGTCCACGGGTGTGCTTTTTACTCCACAATACAGAAACCAAACCTCCCTGGACAAATACAACCCTCACAAATTCTTCTCTTGGCTTTCCAAGTTATTTGCCATTTTTTCCATGGAAAGGAGAATTTTCTGTAACTTCTTGGCAAATCCACACCACTTGTTCCTTTTCAACACATGGGGGGATTAGTAGCCCCATAAGCTACATTCCCCTAAAGCAAAGCACCCCCCAAGCCCCAGAGCAACCATGAGCAGTTTGGAGCTACAGGATTCTTAGATGACACCTTAAAATGCTGCAAAAGATGTTATTTTTGCCACAGGACATCTCTACATGGGGGGGGGGGGAGGGCTGAATCCCCTGCTTTACTGGGTCTTCTTGTTGTGTTTTCAGTGCAGAAAGAAAAAAAAGGTGTCCTTTTCAAGATGTGTGTTGTGATCTGATTAAGAATTGATTAAGGTGTTCCCTATGAGCCCCCTTATAAGGATTTGTAGCCTGGAGAGTGGACCATGCATTATTGTGAGAAAGAAAGTGTTGCAATCGGTGTGAGTCAGGTTCCTGTCTATTCTTGCAATCTGAGAAACTGTGCATATATACAAGCTCCATCCCATCTCAGAGCAGGTCCCCTGAGAGAGACTGAAGAGCTGTGTGTCTACCAGCCTCCAGCACCACGAAGATGAAGAGTTTCCTCATGATGAATGTGCTCTTTGGAGCACTGCCCTGTGTGCTGTTGAACCTTCTGCAAGACATGTAAGGTTTTACGAGGCGGGTGGTCCTCACTAGAATTTAAGAAGCCACTCAATGTCGCTGCTGTTCTTCTTCTTCTGGTCCCTATTTTCTAGCTGACTTGGATGTAAGTCCCTATTTCAATGGGACTCTTTCCCATTTAGGTGTACCTGGGAAGGCACACCTAAGGACTCCTACGTAGCAGGAAGGAAGATCGGAGTCTGCAATTTTCTAATGAAGGCCCTTTCTGCTAATGCAGAGTCCTTTGCAAATCCTGCTTGCGATAATAACCAGTGTGTGTGGGCACATCTTCAGACATGGATATTATATTTGCTTGACCATATGAATTAAGATGGTAGCTAGTGTGATAGACAGGGGGTTCAGGACATCAGGGTTCCACTCCCCACTCAGCCAGGCCACTCACACAGTGACTTTGGGCAAGTTGTGGACTCCATGCCTAGCCTACCTAATGGAGTGGTTGTTTAATTAATTAATTAGTTGCTAGACTGCCCAACAGCTGAAGCTCTTTGGGCAGTTATGGTGAGGATAAAATGCAGAAGAGAAACTTGGAAGGTGCCTTGGATTCCTTACAAGATGATGTGCTATAAATGTAAAGTATGTATGCATGTATCTATTTGATTTATATCCTTGTTTTAACCAATGAATGTGGCCTGCATAATTCTTTTCCTCCAGCTCTCATTCTCCCAGCAACAACCCTGTGAGGTAGGTTGGCCTGAGAGTCTGTGACTGGCCCAAAGTCACCCTGTGAGTGGCATGGATAAGCGAGGACTAGGACTCAGGTTGCCTAAGATTGTGTAAGATTGTGTAAGGTTGTGGTGTTGACTACACCACACTGGCTCTCTAAACCAGGGACCTTTCATGTGTGAGCCAATATTTATATATTAAAAAAAATATAAAAAATAATAATAAAAAAATAGGAACAGATCATTCTCTCATTTTAAGAGACTCTAAGAAGTTTTAAGGCATTTTCCATCTTCGGATGCATTCACACTTACAATCATGGTTTCAGGGGGTTGTTCTTTGACTTCTAAACTTCAGGCAGTGCATCCCAACATGTCAACAGTTGGGGTTTTCTTGCCAAAGTCCTCTTGTCTAATGAATAGCATGAAACTGAAGGCAGTGGGTTGTCTATGAATTCTAGATTAGATACCTGCTATGGCTCTGCTTCGATTTGTGGTCCTTTTTACTTGACTTCAAATATAAATTTCAGGAATTCAGGCAACGATTATGATGATGATGATGAAACATCAGTCCCACCATCACCACCAAACATCCCACCAGAAAATCCATCAAGAGACCTGTGCAAAGATCCCCTGACCTTTGATGCTGTCACCAGTCTCCGAGGGGAAAAATTCTTCTTCAAACACAGGTAAATTGGTTCTTGGAAAGAAGAGTGAGAACTCACGCATCCTGCCATGGCGTACTGCATTTATCCTGCCTAATCTTGGAAGCTAAACAGGGTCCAGCCTGGTTAGAACCTGGATGGGTGACTTGAGCATACACTTGCAAACCACCCAGAGAGCTTTGGCTATGGCCAGTATAGAAATGTGATCAGAATAATAATTTTCCTTCAACAAGCTCTCTCCGCTGATGCAATCCTGAGCAGAACTGCTGCACACGCAGCAATGCTCAACACTTAATTCTGGACTGAAACAAATGTGAACCTGGAAGGAATGAACTTTTCCTGCCTTCCTGTTTAACTCTGCTTGCTTCTGTTTTTAGTGCATTCCTTTCCATGGTTTCCCACATGCTCACTGGGCATATTTCCAGTGTGGGAGCCTAGCAGTGGAAAAAGGAGGTCAAAATAGCCAGGCGGAGTTTCTGGGAGAAAGGTGGAAGGGACTAGGTCAGTGATGGCGAATCTATGGCACACGTGCCCAAAGGGGCACGCAGAGCCCTCTCTGTTGGCATGCCATCGCCCCAGTGGCCATGCGCATATTTGGAAAGATTAAGGGTGCCAGGCACTAATGAGTCACTCATTAGCTGCGACTCCCGGATCTTTCTCATGGCAGTCAGTGAGCTGCCAGGGATTTGCATGGACTGTGATTTTAGTGGGATGCAGGTGGCACAGTGGTTTAAACTGTAGTGCTGACGGGCTAGTTGATCGAAAGGTCACCAGTTCGAGTCTGCACAACCCGTTTTGATTTCAGCAGAAGGCAAGAAAGGTAGGAAATACAGTCAGGTAGGAAATACACTCAGATGCCTTTTTCAGGGCCAGCCAAAAGCTGGTGGTCAGTGGAACGTTGCCCCCTTGTGCTGGTGGTCAGCAAACTCAGGTTTTATCGCAGTGTTGGCACTTGGTGATAAATAAGTGGGTTCTGAGTTGCAATTTGGGCACTCGGTCTCTAAAAGGTTCGCCATCACTGGACTAGGTGGACAAAGCGCCTCATCCCATCCGCTGTATGTCTTCTGAGGAATCACCCAGATAGATCTTACTCAGTAACTGTAAAGCTGAGTGCTCCTCTTTGCTGAAGCCAAGCCCACAACATATGATGCTTGCATGTTGTTGTTGTTGTTGTTGTTGTTGTTGTTATTATTATAACATTTCTATGCCGCCCCTTGCCGAAGCCTCAGGGCGGCTTACAACACAATAAAATACATTGAAATACAATAGAACATAATAAATTACCACTATCGTGGCGATTGCAAAGCAGAAAGCAAAACAACAGGTGATGAAAGAGCAGCGGGAGCAGAATGGCACTGAGTGATACACTCACAACTTCCATGGGGGCACCACGGCCACCCCTTTGCTGCAACACTATCAGGCACTCACAACTTGGGATGGAGGACAAACCCATTCAGTTTGCATTTTAATGATTTATGTTTGTTTATTCGTTTGTTTTTACCCTGCCCACCAGCTCAAAGGCTCCCCGGAGAATTGTTTCTTCAATGTATTTTTCATTTTAATGAAAAAGTACTTGTTTTTACATTTCTCAAAATAATATATCCATCCAAAGCACTATAGTATCTGATATTAATATTGCACTGGATTTTGCAGTGCAATTCTGTCATTGAAAGTCTGCCCAAAGAGCTAGAGAAAATTCAAGTTAGAGGACTGCATATCTATTGAGTGTCCTAAAATGCATTATACTATAAGAAATGGCTTCTCAATGTCTTTGAGTAGAAATATGACATCATCTGGACAGGTATTGGGAAAACTGTTTGCTACTTGTGTATAGAGTATAGTGTATTGTATATTTATTTGTTTATTATTTAATTTCTAACCCAACCCATTAGCCATACTGCTCCCTGGGCAGGTTACGATAATAAAACCATATAATATAATATAATACAACCCACTTTACAATAAAACATTAAAATAATAAAACAATATTGCATATACTGTATATAGTCCTAGCAGCTGTATGAAGGTTTTGTGGTTCAGCCCCAAAGCATGTGAGACACCAGATCATTGCATGCTGGCTGTGCAAATTTTACCTTAGGAGAACTGCATCTCATGGGAATCCGAACATGGGTTCAAGTCTTTAACTCACAAGAAATGAAGCACTGGCTAAAGTGTTTAATTCCTAAGAACTTGTGCACGGGTTTCAGTCTTTACTTTATGAGAACTTGCACATTGTTTTAACTCTTTCCTGAGATTTCTAGAAAAAATGCTACAGTAAAGCTTATATGACTTTTTAAAATTCTTTGCCTCAGCTTGTACTTGCGGAAAAGTCCTTTCAGGAAGGAAATTAAAAATGTGCCAATTTCCACCTTTTGGCCAACTTTGGAGTCTGGCATGGATGCTGCCTATGAAGTTGAAAACCTCGTTTATTTTATTAAAGGTAAATATTCAAATATCCATACATTTCTTTTTATCTTGGACAAATCTGAAGAAACAGAAAAAGGAAGTTTTCCCCCAGGGCCTTAGGATAAAGTAGACAGGTATGGAAAAAGAAGAATGAAGCTTCAAGAATTACTGCTAAGGACATTTTCATGCACAAAAATGCAGAGGAGAGAGGCATTTGCCACGCAAATGAACTTCTGTGCCAATATAGACTTCACACACCTGAATGCTGCAGAAATTACTTTATGCCTTATATGTGAAAATGCCTTAAGAACTCTGAAGGTGACACAAACTTTGTTCAGCTAACAAGCAGCTAACAAGCTCAGGAGCTCAGCTATGAGCTGTTGTGGTGGCATGCAAATGGAAATAATAATTAATAATAAATATTGCAGAACACCATTAGCCTTGATTTCTCCCTCAGATTTCCATAGGTCCAAAAGGGAAGGAGGGCTTTTTCACAGGTTTTTCTCTATTTCTTCTGAAGGTGATGGGACAGGAGGATGTGGGACTGGAGGGCCCCAGTGCTTGTAATGGAAGACCTTGTATTGTTACCACACCGGTCCCTTTCAATCTTTCCTCTCTTTATTTTGCACAACAGGGGAGAACTATTGGGCTTTCTATGCCAACATTGAGGAGCCGGGTTACCCAAAGAGTATCCACAGCTTGGGCTTCCCAGAATATGTTAAGAAAATTGATGCTGCTGTTTATGAGGAAAACTCAAGGAAAATCTACTTCTTTTCAGGCAACAAATACTGGACGTAAGAGGAAATGGTCCAAATATTCACTGATACCCCCTTGAATCCCCCTGCCTAATACCGAGGCATCTCTTTGTCCCAGGAGCATGCCAGTTTTGGAGCGTCCATGGGCAGGACCCTCAAGGCCCCTTCCCCCAGTGACTCCCCCTGATTCTCCCCTTTCCTCATCTTTGCAAGCACTTGCGTGGTTGACAGGCAGAGGGGCAGGGTGTGTCGGCAGCAGCACTTCCAGCTCCTTCTCCTGCAACATGGCGGGCACGGATGAGTGTGAAATCCACAGCTCTCTTGCTGCTTATCTCAAATGCCATCAGATTTCCATTTTCTGCCATAGGAACTAGAAGCTGCTGAAAGCGACGAGCAAAACATTAGTGACCAAGAACTTTGCCCCTCCCCTTTTGAGACAGCCCTTGCCTGTGTCAGATTCTCTTTTCTAATGATGAGAATGAATTACCAGGACCTTCAGGGAAGATCACCTTGAGCCCCAGTGTTTTTATTGCTGAGATCGCCCAGTCCCCCTGTAGTTCCTTAGGACAGCTTGCTACCGGGAAGCGGTCTCCACTGCCTACTACAAACTTTGAGAACATACGTAGAATGTTTTATAGATTCTGAGTCATGTGGGCCTAGCAACTAGTTGACAGTCAGAAGAAGGTGAGAGGTCCGCAGAGGGAGCTCAGTACAATGGCATTTGATTGTAGGAGAGTAACGTAACGCCCACTGAGGCACAGAGATTATTGTGGGTCTTGGCATGCAAATGTGGGTGATTGCAATGCTGTTAACTTGGCAGCCTTCTCAGTTCTTGCACAAAGCCCCAGGTCTGATCCCCGACATTTTCAAGTAGGACAGAAAACTTTGGTGAGCCACTGCAAGTCAGTGTGGATAAGGCAGCTCCTGCGCATCTTTCTGAATCTCTTCAGCATGAAAACAAGAACAAGGGGAGCCAGGCATCTGCTTTACAGAGAAGCCTCTGTTTGAAAGCCCATTTCTCTTTGATGTCGGGAATTACATTGCTCACCTGATGCAGCAGTTCTGTCTCGGGAGATACTGCTCCCCGCTGCACAGGTGCCCCGACAATGGAGCAGAAGAACTGGTGTCTGCTGGTGCCTTCTTCTGATGTTTGCCACATCAGCAAAACATCCTCGCAACTTCATTTAATCTTCAATCCATTTCCTTTGTCAGGTACGATGAAGCTGCAAATGTAATGGAGCAGGGTCCGAAACTGATAGAGACTGACTTCCCTGGGATCGGGACTCAGTTAGATGCTGCTTTTGAGCATGCAGGTAAGAAGAACATGAACTTAGGCTGCGGAAGCTTCCAAGAACATTTAGAACAAAGGGTTTTTTTTTTAATGCTGGTGATCTGGGTACAATAGCCAGAGGGATAAAGCATTAAACAAGATAATCTGGGGCATGGGACTCTGTAGTCTGAGGGCCCCACTGTTAGGGCTATAGCCCACGTTGAGATATGGGATTGCACTGCATTGTCCTAGAAACCAGTCAGTGGGATAAGAGGCAGTGACTTATCACACATCGCTTGATAAAAGACCAGCTTCCCCCACCTGCTACCTGCCAGATACTTTGATGCCATCAGCCCCAGACAACATGGTCATTGGCCGGGACTCCTGACAAGTGTAGCCAAAGCATCCGGGGGTCACCACATCAAGATATGCTATGCTGATGAACAGCTCATGCTTAGATGCAAAGAGCATTAACAGATTTCTTTTTATTCTTTCAGGAAAACTTTACTTTTTCTCTGGTCCAGAGAATGTTGAGTTTGATATCAAGCACAAGAGAGTTACTAAGAAAATGAAGAACAACGTCTGGTTTGGCTGTGTCTGAGATGATGTGGAGAACAAATGAAAGCATCAACAGCGTCTCTGCTCCACCATGTGTCAAGCACTGGCTGCCTTGTTCTCCGCTGGCATTGCTGGGTCCCATCTGGCTAATTTTTTAATCTTTGGCTAATTAAAAAATTACACATTAAAGGTAGAGGTAAAGGTTTCCCCTTGACATTAAGTCCAGTCATGCCTGACTCTAGGGGGTGGTGCTCATCTCTGTTTCCTAGCCGAGGGAGCCAGCGTTTGTCTGCAGACAGTCTCTTTGGTCATATGGCTGGCATGACTAAATACTGAAGTGCATGGAACGCTGTTACCTGCCCACCAAAGTAGTACCTATTTATCTACTTGCACTTGCATGCTTTCAAGCTGCAAGGTTGGCAGGAGCTGGGGCAGAGCAACGGGAACTCACCCCGTTGTGCAGATTCGAACCGGCAACCTTTCGATCAATCAGCCCAGCAGCACAGCAGTTTAAGCCACTGTGCCACCTATTAGATGCAAATTAATCTATGACCTGTGACGTTATTTTTCTTTCTTTTGCATGTGAAATCTCACATCTGCAGTATGTAAAGGAAAAATTAAAGAAAGTTTTTCCAAAACATAAGCAGTTAGTCTGTTGTTTGTTATGTGGCTAGGGCTATTGTTTCATGGGTGGTCCGGAGAGAGGTGTGTATTTCCAGTGGGGCTACTCATCCATGCACTGGCTGTTTAGCAGGCAGATCTTTCTGCCTTGCACAGGAAAATGCCCACACTCACCTTGACCTGTCCTCCCCTTGCTATTTCAGTCATGTCACTATTCCTGTCTCCAACCAGTGAAATCATGATTGTTTTAGGTGTTGAGGTTTTTTCTTGATACACATCCACCGAGCAATGAGGAGAGAGACCTGTGGAACAGTTCTGGAGGCAGGAAGAGTGGTTCTAGTGAGCCGGGGCTCTGTGGGGGGGAAGGAAGTGTCATGTGAGGACTCTGGTGAAGCAGCAGCAATTCTGATTTGCTGCTGCAGTTGCTTTCGTGTATCTCTCATGTTCCAATGACCTTCCCCCGCCCTTCTCTCTCTTGCACACACACATGTACACACACATGCCCAGTAGTTGGAAAATGAAACATTCCTTCCCCCTTTCCCT